CAGGGCAAATCACCCAGCCGATCACTGTGAGTAATATCTTAATAAAGATATTTGAAATATGTTGTCTGTCCAATTGCTTACTTCTGTGTAAGCCTTATAAGTTCGTTAATTTGAATGGTGGACAAATGTTTGCTATGCCAAAAGAATGGGCTAAAGGCCAGTTTGACACGAATGATAGAATGAATGGGCCAAAGGCCAGTTTGACACGAATGATAGAATGAATGAGCTAAAGGCCAATACGACATGAATGATAGAATGAATGGGCCAAAGGCCAGTTTGACATGAATGGAAGAATGGAAGGGCCAGAGGCCGTATGACATGAATAAATGGGCCAGAGGCCATATGACATGGATGATAGTCTGACTCGAATGATAATCTGACATAAATGAATGGGCCAGAGGCCGTATGACATGAGTGAATGGGCCAGAGGCCGTATGACTTGAACGAATGGGCCAGAGGCCGTTCGACATAAATGATACGAATGAATTGGGCCCGAGGCTGTATGAGGTGTTTGGAACCACAGTCACTTGACCTATATTTATATATAAGCTAGATAGAAATACGAATTGGGCCCAAGGCCGTTTGAAGTACGCTGTTCTAAATACCGTTGTGTAACTTCTTTATTTGATATTATTCACTAGGCTTTCGCTCACGCTCATTCATGTGTTTGTAGGTGAGCCAAGGGAGATCCAAACACAGCCTCAGTGAAGTTTGTGTGGAACAACCAAGATTTTTGAAGAGTCAGCCCTACGTCTTATGCACGAGACTCGTCTTCGCCCTTTTGCTATCTTATTTTATTTTGTCATGTTGGCGAAGACTTTGGTTTATGTTGTATATGTATATGGTCTTGATTGGCTGACCTAGACTTAATAGAACCTGTATGTACAGAGCTTTGTATTAGTACATATTTTCATGTGAGTTATTAATACGTGTATGTATGGTTTGTAATGATGTGCCATGTAATCACAGCTCTATGGACAAAATTTTAAATTTTGCTTCTGTTTGGCCCCTTTACTCTGATGAGTTATGTCCGGTTTGATTTGAGGCCGTAGGTAATCTCAGAATTACTGGCCGGTCATGTCCTTAACCCATGGGGGCGGGTTCGGATCGTGACAGTGGTGGTGGTGGTGGTGGTGGTGATGATGATGATGGCTATGGGAGTGGCAGTAGTGGTCGCGGCGGCGGCGGCAATGACGACAATGGTGGTATCAGAGGTGGTGGTGGTGGTGGTAACAGTGGCAGTGGTAGTAATAGTAGAGACAATGACGGTAACAGTGGTGATAATGTAGCAACAATGAGGTTATAACCGTATATGTCGATGCTTAAACATTACTATGCATAAATTTAGTTAGAATTAAATAAATTTCTTATCACTTAAAATTTTCTTGCATTTTAACTTATATTTTAAAAGTCACTTAAATTTTTAAGTAATATCAATCGCAAGGGTAAATTACATTTTACCCCTTTGTGGTTAGATCAAAAAACACGAAACTCCCCTAAAGTTTTATTTGTTACACTTAACTCTCTTAAGTTAATATCAAACTGCAAAATAACGTTTTCTTCTCGTTTGGGGATTAAATATTTTAGTCAAAAAATAAAAAACGTCATTATAAGTTGTTATATCACTTTCTCTATTTTTCTATATATATTTTCGTAAAAAGTTTAAAAATTACTAAAATAGCATATTCCCAACCTTACATGAATTTCACTTGCGAAAAATTGATTTTTTTTTTCTTTTAAAGGATTTGATTTGTTAATCTTTTAAAATAATAATTTTATCCCAAAATATTTTTGCACCAATTCTTTCCTAAATCATTTGTCTATTTCCGATGAAGGATAAGAGAGAGAGGGAAGGGTCTGTTAGGAGTATAAATTTGGTCCGACCTGGCTCACCTGGGCCCGAGCTCAAGCCGGTCCATGTTGGGCCACATGGGCTCCAACCAAAATTTGGGTCGGGCCGAGCTAGATCACAGGCTAGAAAATTAGGCCCAAGCCTAGGGGATATTCGGGCCTCAGGCCGGCGGGCCTATTCCTGAACTCGGGCTTGGGCGGGCCTTGGACAGGCCTGAACATTTAAATTTTTTTTTTCTATTTTTTTCCATTAGAAATGACGCTGGGCTTCTAGTGGCCCGGGTTTTGAGTAGGTCTTAAGCGGGCCGATGAGTAAGGCCACAAGGCAGGCTAGGCGGGCTTCAAAATGACGGTCTAGACCCAAGCCCAGAGTCTTAGGCTGGGTTCTGGCCCGGGCTATTTTTGCACCCCTAGGGTCTGTAATGAAGGAAATGAGTGGGGGAGGAGACGATATGCACTAGTCTCAAATGGAGGAGAAGAGAGGCTGTAACTACGAGGGTGAGAGTGAGTAGGGAAGGATAGGGGAAGTCTAAATTAAATTGGTCGTGGATGGGTAGAAAGAAGAGGAGTTGCGACCGTAGGCCGAGGTGGGAAAGTAAAAGGTCTGCACTGTGAACGAAATGATGAATAGATAATATGAAAAATAGGGGCAAGCATAGAAGCTTCATCCTTCCTCACAACTTAGAAGCTTGCTACCCCTGTTTTACATATTCAGATTGTGGTTAATCTGTGGATGCAAGAGGTGATGCGAACGGAAATTCAACTAGAAGAACAGAGAAAATGCAAAATTGGAGATGGCTATTTCAAAGAACTAGAGGTTTAAACTCCATTAATTGTCCGACTCCATGGGTTGGGTTTGTTACTAAATCGAATCATAAAACAAATGCAAGTAGTGGTGGTGTTTGTTGGTAATGGGTGGTCATTCTGTGATGAAGATAAAATGAATATAAACAAAAAAGAAAAAGAAAAAAGAAAGGGGTGGTGGTGATGGTAGTGGTGGTGAGAGGAGAGAAGAGAAGAGAAATAAAAATGAAGATGAAGAGAAATAAGAGGGTTATTTGTGTCTTTTTAACTTTTTCGTTATTACCATTCATTGGGAGCTTCTATATGCACTCCAAAAAAAAGTTGTGCACCCTATTATTTTGAGCACCCAATACTAAATTTGAAATTTTATTTATTTGTTTGGACACCCCAAATAATACATATCCTAACCCTAAAAATCCTAAAATCCTGTATAAATCTACTTTGTATACTCCATTACCAATAAACAAAGGAACAAAAATCACATTTGAGGTCTCTGGAATTCCAAGCGACGAAGAGAGATTCTGAGTCCATCTACGATGAAGTGGTATTCCAAGACAGATGGTCTATGCTGCTCTACACAATCCGTCCATTCCAAGTTCCTGTTGTTTCACATGAATACTTAGTGCTGAATAAAATATATTTGTCTGAATATTTTATGTGAAGTTTGTTCAAATACTCAGTATTGAACACAAGAAAATCAGTTTTAGTTGTTTCATATAGATACTCAATATCAAACAAAATATATTTGTCTAGATACTTAATTCCCAACATGTGAAGTTTGTCCGAATACTCCGTACCGAATCAATTCGGAAAGTCAACCTACGAAAAACGATGAATAACAATTAAAGCTTACTTTCTTCATACAATATTACTTGTAAACGTTTTATTTATTATCCATTGTTAATTTCAATACAAAATAGAATGCAAGAATGATGGATTAAGCAAATAGGGTTGGGCATGAAGATGCAAAGTGATAAAAGTAGAAAGAGAAGAGAGAAAAGAAATATTGGCATCGATGATAAATGAGGTGTCCAAAACATTTTTATTTACATTTTTTTCTAAAGTCAAGTATTTTTTTGGTCATTTTAAATAGGAACTTAATACTAATAAAAAAAATATCATTAAATTGAAATGTCTAACCTACTTTTTGGGATGCAAATAGAAGCTTCCCCATTCACTTTTGCACTTTGGTAATAATTTTAGGGGGATTCTTTGTCACAAATCAAACTTTTGTATTTTTTGACCTAATCATAGGAAGGTAAAGTGTAATTTACCCTAATTGTAATTATTAAATACATATAATTAATTTTTTATTTAATACATTCAATTTTAAGTGTTAAATTAGATTATCAAACACAACTTAAATTTTTTTTGGTCTTGAAAAACATATTGGTCCTAACTTCTACTTTGATTAGTCTTAAGGTTGGTTTTGTTTTGAGGAGTTGGAGGGGCAAAAGGTTGGCAAATGAAATGCGATTTAATAGGGTATGATTGATCTTGTTGATAGTCAATTAAAAATGTTAAGTATCTCAAATGTTTTATCAAATGTTGTACCAAATATCTCACATAGGTAAGAACATTTAGTAAAATATTTGAAATTCCTAATTAACATTACTCGTTGTAAATCTCTCCAATTACATACAGTTCCAAAAAATAAAAAAATTTCTCTAACAAGGAGAGCATTACCTTGATTTGCATACAGTTTCAAAAACCTTAAGGTGCACTTAAGGGACGGCCATGCATTTTACATTTGCACAAGACGAAGTCCACATTTTACATTCAGACATTGGCTCCATTTTCGTTTTTTATTTTCATTTTCCAGAAAACACTAGGGTTCCTCTGATATATAGGAAATATATCACGACAGCGCATGTCTTTGATGAATGTGGTATCGAGGTTCAGTTCATTTTGGAAAAGAGGTCAGTCCTAGGTTAGACCATGCGAATGGTTAAATTGATGACTTTGCTTCGATCTCTTCTACTGAACCTGAAGGAGAATTCGATTATTTAAATTGATGACTTTGCTTCGATCTCTTCTACTGAACCTGAAGGAGAATTCGATTATTTAACTTTCAACCAACGATACCTGGTCTAGATCAGAGCAGCGGTGTTGACCTTCTTGCTTCCCCCCCCTTTTTTTTTTTTTTGAACCTATGTCATTTTTCTTGCTAACAGCAATAAAAAATAAAAATAAATAAAAGAATATACAGTTTATAAGTACTAATACAGAGATCTAGTTAGGATACATACTCTGGGGTTGAGAGGATGGACAAGAAAAATATCACCAGTGATGAGCATGATCACAAAGTATTTGTCATACCTTAACAGAATTTTCAACAACCCACAAACCATAAAGTAGTCTCTTTCAACACATAATGGCTTGTAAATAATATGACAAAGATAATTATAGTACTAATAAATAATAAATACAAGCCTCCCTTCTCTACAATGATACACAGCTAGCCTATAGGTTTTACCTTCACCCCAAATTCATCAACTGCAACAGAAGCAACAACTTGCAAAAAAAAGACAAAAAAAATTCTATAAACACCAACTCTTTCTGCTATGTATATGTACACCTATAAAGCATGACATACCACCATGGCCAAAACCCAACAAGATCACATAGAAAGCAAATGCAGTTTGTCATTTTCATAGTTGATTCATGGTGGGGTTTAGAAACCTATATAAAGCTGTGATTCATTATCATGAAGTCCAGCATAATTTTAAAGCCAAGACATGGAACATAGCAAACAAACGAAAAAAAAAAAAAAAGAGCACAAAAGTAACTGGAATGCAGAAAACAGCCACTACCCGTCTGCCTCCATAGCCTCCACGAATTGAAAGCCAGGGACAAGCTTCATCCAAGGTAATCATAGCCTCCATCACATATCCCTATCCCCATATCTACATCCGATCAATGGGCTCAGTCCTGTCCTGCACTGCCAACCGCTCTGACACATCAGCAAGTGATTTGAGGTTGCACTTAATCAAGGCTTCTACAAAATAGCAGGTCTCATCTTTGGTGTTCCCCTCGGGCACATCTACTACAAAGGATTCTATTGCCAGAGTCCCTGGTCTTCCGTCAATGACTTCTGTATGGATGGAAATGATTGAAGAGTAGTTCTGAAAAATATGTTAAGGAAAAACAAACATTGTCAAGCTGGTTTAGAAATATTATCCGACAGTAGCAGCACTTGTATATCTAATCAAAAAGCGAAATAGAGAAAATGTTAGGCTGCAGTAGGTAATTAGTGTGAGTGGTGCCCGTGGGGAATTAGGTAATGTGTACTTGCCATGGTTCATGTAACTAACCCACCAAAATAACTAAGCACAAAATTTAACAAATAAAGTTGTTATAAGTGTAGGTATGTTTAAATTAGCATAACAAGTTGCATTCCAATGTATGTCTAGTACACACGGCATATAGGAAGCACATTTAGCTGAAAAGGCCACGGACAATCCACTTTAACATCCAGCTAATGCCTTCGTTTTACTTTTTTCCTTTTAACTGATGAAAAACAATAAGTGAAAACTATTACCACTTCCGTATTAAATGTCATGGCAGCAACCATGTGCTACAATGCAGGTAGATGAAAGTGATCCACAAAACTACGAGCCGTTCCACTTGTTAGATTATTTTTCCTGCCTACAAGAGAAACCTTGGCCATCTAACAAAATGCAGCCTGAAGACTAGTCAAATTGCACCATAAATGGGAGCACACCTTGGTTGTTCTCCATTAAAGAACACAAACAATGATAAGTAACGAACTCCATTGTTTTCGAATATTAAGATGAAGGAAAGAAGGAACTCCACTATGGAGACAGAATTCATAAATTAGCAGGATATAGAATAACAATATGGTCCAAGTTCATCTATCATCGATTCAAAACAAAATGAGCATTGGTGATGACTGCACTGCAGCTGATTTCTTAACAGCTAATAATGTTTCACAACAGAAGGCTGAATTCAATTCAATATCAAGTGGAACCATAATTCCATCCAGAAATGTAAATGATAGATCATGTTGTGCATTCCATACCATAATGAAATTCAGAAACTTGTCTAAATCGTTCAAACAACTACATAATCATATTTTGCCTATCATGAAGCAATTTCTAGCCTAGGTAACTCATGTTACTTGCATCTTTAAGCACATTCAATGGTTTGCTTGAATTTAGTTAAAAAACAATAGTAGAGTCATTTGTTTTTATCAAAACTAGTTAGTAATTAAGGAAAACTGTAATCCGTTAATTGGGGTGAGCGATAAGAAGCTAAAACACAATAAGGCGAGCAACCAGAGGAAGAAAGAGTTTTCGAATTTTCATACCCTGAGTCTGTGATCACCCCCAACAATCCTCATGCTAAGGATATGCTCCTCATCATCAAGAAGCTCCAATCGTTCGGTGCTGGTTGTCGCAGGAAGCCCCGATTTAACATCAACTTCTCTAAGACTACCAATTTCAAGGTTTCCCTGCACAACACACCTGCTTACAAAAGGCTTATACTTTTGCGGCTGATCAAATCTCCTCACCAAAGACCAAACCTAATTATAAATAATAATAAAAAAAGAAAAAATTATTGCTCCGAAGTAATTGAACAATGATTTCACCCAAATTAAATATATAAATAAATAAGCAAACTAACACAAAACTAAGTTTTGAATTTTGCAAAACAATGCAAAATATAACACAATTTCTCTGCTGATTTTTCCTATGTTTTATCAAAAGAAAGTAATATGGATCGAAGTGAGAGAAAAAAAAAATGGTCAAACAATAAAAAAATTTACAACAATCATTGAAAAATCACAAATCTAAACAATATTCTGGTGGAAATTTCATCGAACACAATCGAATCTGAACAAAATCCACATATGAATCGATCGGACCAGAGATGAAAATGCATATACACATAAATATAAATATATGTGGAAAAAGGAGAAAAAAAATGGAGAGGGATTTATACGAGATGAACAGGTGCTTTGATGTGCTTGACGAGAGCCGAACTGCATTGATTCGAGGCAGGCTGGTGCCTGTGGTGCTTCCGAATGTACTCTCTCTCTACACTGCTCAATCCTTCAGCGTTCATGACTCTAACCAATCTCTCTCTCTCTCTCTCAACGGCAACCACCGGAAAAGCCTCCGATCACCGAAGAGGAACACTTTTCTCTGCTTGATTTGATTCTTCAGACTCAAGAGTTGACTCACTACCCTCCCAAACCCACCGCCATAGCATATAATACTAGTTTCATTACCAGAAACAGCCCCTCAACTCTGTATCATCTCATCGTCTCTTAAATATAATATTGCAGATATTCCTCTCTCTCTCTCTCTATCTATCTCTATATATATATATAATATTGATAGATATATTTACATGTATGTATATATTGGAGTCTGCTGGCAACTAGCTTAAAAAAATCAATTTTGCAACTTTTTAATTTTTTTAAATAAAAAAAGTCAACTTTTTTAGTTAAAAAAAACCAGTTTCTTTGCTAAAAATCTAGTTTTTTTTGGGGGGGTTAAAAGCCATCAAAAAAAAAAAAAAGTCAAAAATTAATTTTTTATTAATTTCATAAAACACCCCGTTGTATCTGTTATTATCGAAAAATATTTGAGATAAAAAAAAAAGTAATGCTGGACATTCTAAAAATTCTATTAAAATTTCTAACAAATATCATATATGGGTGTGTGTGACCCACATAAAACTCACATAGTATGAGTCTCGTACCATATGAAACCTTTAATAAAAATTTTAATAAAATTCTTGAAATTGCTTGGTTAGGTTTTTCAAAAAATATTTTTCAAAAAATTCTACTCTCTTATTTTTCATTTTTTTTTTGTTTTTATTAATTTTTTAAAATATTTTAAGAATTTTTTTTTATTGTTTAGACATACCTAACGTAAATATACTTAAAAAGTAAAAAAATTGTGAAAAAGCTTTTTAAAAATTCACAAAATACTAAAAATATATAAAAAAAAATGAGAATTGAGTACATTTTTTATATTTTTATGTATTTATTAATTTTTTAAAATATTTTTTTACAAATTTTTTACTTTTGAGATACATTTAAGTAAGGTGTATCTAAAAAAGTAAAAAAAATATTTAAAATTTAAAAAATATTCACTAAAAATAAAAAAATACGAAAACTAAAAAAGTTAATTTTTAAAAAATTTAATTCAAAAAACTCAAATCAAACATATTGAATATGTTTCAAAAAAAATTTCATGTCAACTTTTTAACTGGTTACACTCCTAATGATTGAGAGCTCATTTTCTTAATTAATTATGCACTTAGGCCTCGTTTGGGAACAGGCTAATTTAGTAACTTTTTGGCTATTTGGCTAAAAAGGTAGGTAGGTGTATCTAAAAAAGTAAAAAAAATATTTAAAATTTAAAAAATATTTACTAAAAATAAAAAAATACGAAAACTAAAAAACTTAATTTTTAAAAAATTTAATTCAAAAAACTCAAATCAAACATATTGAATATTTTTCAAAAAGAATTTCATGTCAACTTTTTAACTGGTTACACTCCTAATGATTGGGAGCTCATTTTCTTAATTAATTATGCACTTAATTGAGAGCGCACTTAATGATTAAAAACTTAATTTTTTAATTTATTAAATACTTAATGATTGAGAGTTTGATATTTTAATTAATTACGCATTTAATAATTGATAGCTTAATTCTTTTAAAAAAATTTACACGTTAAATGCATAAATGTATACGTTAAATATATGGGTTATATCATTACTCAATGTTACCAAATTGGCAAAAACTCTTATCGCCTTTGCTAACAGTATTGTCCCTGAATTGGTTTTGGATATGCCATCTGGGGTTTGTGGATTTACGATTGTGCCACTTTTTTTTGTCGGTTAGTATGATGTCTAAAATGCCCTTGAGGGTGGAGTTATTGCGGTTAAACTGCTAGCAGTAAAATATCCCACCGTTAAATAAACAATTTTTGTCTTTTTCCGTAAATGTAGGTGTAAATTATACTTTGCCCCTTAAGGTTTAGTATTTTCTCGTTTTGGTATTTTAAATTTGCTCAAATTACATTAACAGTCTATATAGTTTAAGAATTATATCATTTTGATCATTGATTTTTCAATTGTAACATATTTGACCTTGAATTTTGAATCTTATTCTAAATAAGAATAATTAAAAATGCTATTGTTTAATTTCAAAAGCAAAATTATCAATTTGATAAAATATAACTTAATTTGATAAAAATAAATATCAAAAAAATATTTTTTATTTCTACCTATCAAAGATAAAAAATTGATAAATTTTTTACACATTTATTTATTTATTTTTACCAAATTAATTTTTATTATGTATTTGGATGATGATTATGTAATGATTTGTTGTTAGGATTTTAATGTGTAATGATATGTTTAATATATAAAATATTTTTAATTTTGGATTTTTTGATTTAATGATTTGGTTTAATAATGATATCAAAGTTGTCGTTACATTTGACTTTTGAAAAAATAGAAACTTATTTAATGAAAATAAAAACAATCACACATTATATGATCCTCATCAAACACTCAATGAAAATTAATTTGGCAAGAAAAATAAATAAATATCTAAAATATTTATCAATATCAAAGATAAAAAATTGATAAATTTTTTACACATTTATTTATTTATTTTTACCAAATTAATTTTTATTATGTATTTGGATGATGATTATGTAATGATTTGTTGTTAGGATTTTAATGTGTAATGATATGTTTAATATATAAAATATTTTTAATTTTGGATTTTTTGATTTAATGATTTGGTTTAATAATGATATCAAAGTTGTCGCTATATTTGACTTTTGAAAAAATAGAAACTTATTTAATGAAAATAAAAACAATCACACATTACATGATCCTCATCAAACACTCAATGAAAATTAATTTGGTAAGAAAAATAAATAAATATTTAAAATATTTATCAATTTTACATAATTTTATATGTAGTGGGTAGAAATAATTTTTAAAAATTTAAAAATATTTTTTTGACATGTATTTTTATCAAATTAATTTATATTTTATCAAATTGACAATTTTACCCTTGAAATTATGCAATATTGTCTTTAATTGTTCTTATTTGGAACAAGATTCAAAATTCAAGGTCGCAATTAAAAAGTCAAATATCAAAATGACACAAGTCTCAAACTCTAAAGACTGTTAGTGTAATTCGCCCTTAAAATTTTTCTCCCTTCACTTTGGTTCTTAGAGTTTCTAATTTTTTTTTTTTTCATTTTACTCTAATAGTTAACTCCTGTCTAACGTTAAAATGTAAAAGATCACGTCACCAGTCACATAACCTTAAATAGGGTTGTGCAAAATATCGTTTAATCCGTTAAAATCGCACCAATCTATATTAAGGGGTTATTTGGGGTGTCTTAAATAAGTGCACCTTTTTTTTAGACTAAAAAATTGAGAAAAAAATATGAATGTTTGGGTTAACTTTTTGACTTTTTATAGAAAAATGTGTATTAAAAAATTGTATAAATTAGTGTGTATGAGAAAATTAGGATTGGGAGTTATGCAGCCGTAATTTTTGATTTTTGGTGAATAATGATAACTTTTTAACTTTTTAAGTAACTTTTTGACTTTTTGACAACTTGCCAAACTTGACCTACTTCACACCAATTTAATCGATTTATCTGCTAATTGTGGATTAAATTTCGAAATTTATAATCTACCTTCAAAATCGTTCGGTCCCGCTATAGTTAATACACATTTTTCTAACATCTAATATCAAAGTAAAGAAGAATATGAAAGAGATTTAAGATGTGAAATTTGTTACAAATTAATATATATATATATATATATAAATTATGTAAAATTAGTTTGTATTATACATATAAAAAAATATTACTCCATTTGTCTCAAAATATTAGTCTTTTATTCCATTTTTCATTGTTCTAAAATATTAGTGTCACGACCCGCTCCCCGTACCCAAGAGTTAAGTATCGTGATGGTCAGTAACTGAAGTTACCTCCAACTAATTCTTGAACAAATAAATAAACGCTAGCGAAAATAATATTCAAGTGAGGGTACCAAAATAATTATCGGAGTTTTTATTTTTATTACAAAATTTATTGACAAAAAAAGTCGATATTTACATATAAAAAATATCATAAAAGTGCTGTGTGTGTCTATTCCGCAGTCCCGCGCCTAAGACTTTTCAAAAACTATTTCTGAATTGCATTGTTTTCTGAAAATTGGTAAACAGCTATAAGCACATGGCAGCGTGAGAAATATTATGCCAAAAGTATAAGGGACACAAAATAATTATGGATAATTATGTAACTAAAATATTTAAGATCACTTAGTCTGAACAAATAATTATTTAAGTAACAAAACTGAGATTATGTAAATAAATAACTATAACCACGGTACTGAACAGAACAGAACAGAACAGAGGTCACAGGAGTGGCAGTCAGAATAGATGTACGGATTCAATAGGTGACTCGTACGGATTATTGAAGTGGCTCCCACAATAGTGTAGCACTTATCTCCGCACAGTACTTTGCTCCGCACAGAACATAGGTCAATATATCCATGACAACAGAGGCCACAAAGTGACCAAACCGAGGCCAATGGTTATTTAAGTCCCCCAAGGCGTGGAACTCCCGTGGTGGTACTTACAAAACATAATTGTTTATAAGGTTATAGTCAAATATTCTTTAAAATATAAACAAACATATCCGTAGGTTTCATTTTAAACAAATAGAGTTCAAAAATTAATCCACATAACTGAAATATTTATAAAACATAACTTGTATTAATATAATTAATAAAATACAACTTATATAAAATAAATTATGGTAAGTCAAAACATGCGTAAAATATATTATGGTAACTCAAAGTATAATATAACTCACCTTAACTTTAATACCCCACTCTTTCTTTCCACTATCAAAGACCCTCTCAACTTCCATTATTTTTTTCTCTTTTCTTCCTTTCCTTTCCTTCCTTTCTCTCTTCTTTTCCTTTTTTTCTTTCTCTCTTCTCTATTGGGAGGGAAAAGCTACATTCGGCCAACACGGGCCATGCGCGAATCTTCTCACATATTTGATTAGATTTATGCTTATTTTTAATAAATATTTAAGATAATTACACTTTGACTCGATTTTTTAATATAACTATATAAATAAATTAATTCCTAATTAAATTATACTCTATTATATATCAGCAGAAAATTAATTATTTATTTTATTACCACACGCATTACTATTATTATTATTATTTATTTATTTATTTATTCTTACTTTTATATTTATTTATTCACTATCTTTAATTTTAATTTGACCCAACTAGTATTATAATTCCA